TAATAAGTAATTATAAATAATTAGTAATTAATAATTTTATTAGTTTAACATTTTATTTCTTTTATTTAATATTTTATTAATTCATTATTAATTAATTATTAATTAATTGTTAAATTATTAAAATTATTATATTGCTTATAATGTGCTCTACTGATATCATATTTCATGAATTTCGCGCGACGCATAACATTTAAATTTATGCTACACATTTGGGTGCATTCAATACTACAATCGCTCACTGAGCGCTCAGTGAGCGGTCATGATACTGAGTGCACCCATTGTATAGACATTTGACAAACCTCATACGATCATATTCATTCATTGCACAAAAGAGGGATTCGCATCTTGAACTTGACCGCGTATTCTTAAATTCATCCGAAAAAAAGTGTTGCAACCTCATTGCTTCTGACTGTACAGTTGGTTTACCCCGGATCTACAATACGTGTTTTAAGCCTTAAGCCGTAAGAAATTATCCAATTACAGTCGAATTCGAGGAGAATAATTGACTGTGATTCGTCCATTTTTTATGGCTTAAGGCTTAAAACTCTATTGTAGATCCGGGGTTAGTGTTTCTTAGGCCGGAATCCATAGTTCGGTCTTAATTTCAAGCAATGTCTTAAGGTCACAGCACAGTGCATAAGCGAATCAACTAATCAGAATCTTTCCTTCCATTCCATGGAAAAGAAGAATTTCGATTGATCGATTCCCTTATGCACTATGCATTATGCGTTATGCAAGAGTCTGTGCTGCGGCCATTAAGATGCTAATACGGCTCTCTGATTGGTACTAGCTTAAGACCATTTCGAATCTTGAGCACCGTCTATGGATTCCACCCTTACCCCGGATCTACAATAGGGTTTTAAGCCTTAAGCCATAAGAAATAGACGAATCACAGTCGATTATTCTCCTCGGATTCGACTGTAATTGGTCAATTTCTTACAGCTTAAGACTTAAAACACCTATTGTAGATCCAGGGTTACGCATTCATACATTACACAGTGTGTAAGACGACGGTGCTGCGTGGTGCTGCGCATGCGCATTGCGAACATTAGGACCTCTCAACCTTTCTCTTTCTCACAGATGTTAGCTTCACCTCGGTATACGGGCCAATAATAGGCAATTCTTTTTCCAGTAACATATGTTCTAAGGTCGTATCATCTAGTGTTCCTATAATAAGAGTTAGGACAATGCGGTCGCAACTTTTGATCGATTGCCGAAATCCGCCATATGTAATAGTCAACCGCTAGTTTCAAATGAGTTGCAATAACCAAAACACAACCGCAAGTTACAAGCAAATTGCAGAAAATCACGTATTTGATGTTATCCTTCATGTTTTCGTCATTATCTAGCGCTAGCAGTATAACAATTACACGAGGTTTGTTAAAGAATGTTACTAACCATACCATGCTCATTTAATTGAACTCAGCTACATGTGTTTGACGTGTCATATTTTCTGTATATTGTCTATAGCAGAGCTGGAATTTAGTTGCACATTTCGGCCGATTTTCAGCTTGGTTCCTACCTCTTACCTCACCAACCTGCGCGCAGCCTAAGGGCGAAATCCATAGACAGTACTCAAAATTCGAGATGGTCCTAAGCTAGTGCATGAACCAATCAGAGAGCCGTATTAGCATCTTAAGACCTTGCTTGAGATTAAGAATGGACTATGGATTCCGGTCTAAATGCCGATCGGCAGGCCAGGATAAATCCCAGCTCTGATCTATAGAGTCTCTAGGTTTGTTCGCGCCGCATGTTCCAATATGTTTCTATCTCTTAGGTCTTACTCACTTCAACGCGCTTGATAGAGTGAGTAGGATCAATGGTAAGAGCATGTTGGAGCATGTTGGAGCTTGCGACGCGAACAAGTCTTCTGTAGTTGTATTTAGAAAGCAATTTTTCGAGATAAAGGTAGGAGAGAACGTAGTCTTTCACATCAAATTGATCAAATTACGGGCGAATTTTGAACAATGGAGACGAAATGATGTTTAAATTTCGGGTAGAAATAAATCGGTCAATGCAAAAAATTTGTTTAGTAGAAAATTTGTTGGAGGAAATAGACTCTTGCGATCGTTTGTCATTAACCCTCCTATAGTAAAAGGGATTAGACCTCTAGCTTCCATTTTGCAAAGCTCATGTGTAATTTAACAGAGAAAGGAGTTTTATGATATATTATTAACTTTTTTTACTCATTTCGTTGTATTGATTAGATGAGATATATTAGATGAAATATGAACAAAACGACATCAGTGTTACTTAAGGGTTCTCCGGGTATAAGGATAGCACAACGGAATAATTAGACTCAATTACAGCGAAAAAAAAACCGTATATTTCTCTGCTGTTACGAACGTGACGATTTTGATCGTACAAAGAAAAAGGATGGCTGCGTTCAGCAGAGAAAACTAATCAGTTAGCGCTTAGTGATTCTTTAATATAATTGGTTCCTACACTTAGATCCAGTGAAGAACTAAAGGCAAGAACCAATCACATTAAAGAATCACTAAGGGCGGTATTCATAATCCATTCTTATTTAAAAATCGTCTTAAGTAATGTCTTAAGATGCTAATGCGGCTCTCTGATTGGTTCGTGACATTTTACGACTGTACTTAAGACGGTCTTGAATATAAAATTTGACTATGAATACTGGCCTAAGTGTTAAGCTGGTTCTACATTAGTCGCATCGCAACGTCGCAAGCGTTGCAGTCCAATCAACGTCAAACTAGCTCGACTCTGATTAGACTGCAACGCTTGTAACACGCTTGCTACGCTGCGATGCGATCAATGTAGAACCAGCTTTAACTGATTAGTTTTCTCTGCTGAATGCAGCCGATGGCTGCGTTCAGCAGAACGTTTGTTTTGCAACTGTTGGAAGTTTCCTTCGCGCTAATTGGATTATACTTTTAGATCTAGAAGAATGGTCCTATCTCAGCAGACAATCATAAAACGGTTGCAAAACTGTTGAGTCTGCTGAACACAGCCACTAATAATGGCGGTGGGCGCTACGCGTGTATTTCTTTTTGAACGCGGCGTCCGAGCTAGCGCCACCTATAAGCTAACGGTGGTAGTCCGTTAACACATACCGCGCGAATACAAACCTACGAAAGGACTCTATTTTCTACAATTCTTGTCTGGATATCTTGAAAATTCACTTTACCATAGGAGGGTTAATTCTCATTCATACATTTTCAAAGACGTTCGACTTGAATATCGTTCCAAGTAGATTTTTATGCTTTTTCGATATTTCTATACGTAAAGTTAGTTGAGAAGTACGTTACAGTTCGCGTATGACTTCTTCTGTGGGAAATGCAGACCTTAAAACCGGCGTGGAGCAAAGTTTAATCTCTGGATAGTCTTTTATATGGTATCCAAGTATAAACGTTAACTACAACTCGTTTGAACAGCGCACACATGGTGTAAAATTTATAGTTTACTAGTTTCTGATTTTTAATTTCTTTTATCTTATGGAAAAATTGGCGAAACTATCCTTTATATTCTGTAGACTTGCGTCACATAAAATGTTCATCCTCTTGTTTCTACATTCCTGTAGTCGAAGTTAAAGTTTATTACTTTTATCGCGGTATATAACGTGAAATTAACGTAGGGAAATTCATACTTTATATCAAATTAGAATATATTTCGAAACATATATTCTCATTTTTTGTTTTTTTAGAAAATACATAATTTTTATATTTTATAAATGTATATTTTAACAAGTTTATCTATTGGATAATAAATATTTAATAAATAAATAGTTACAATAATATGTGT